TTATCGGAACTCCTTTGAAAAGCAATATTGTTTTAGATAGGTAAAGAGTGATATTCATTAACCGTCGAAGAAAATATTGTCATCACAAACTGTCTTTTTCTATAACTTTAATTCATTATCTTTAGTTTTTCCAGTTTTTAATCTTATTTCTGTTTCCACCCACTGTTGATAACATTTCATACGGGAGACGCTATTTTCATGAATTCCTAATGTTTCAGAAAAATGTCACCATTTATTCAACCCATCAGAGACTAAGTTTAACTTTGAATTATGATCAAAAAATAGACAGCAAAAACAAAATACGTAGTTTTTAGAATCTGATTAAACCAACCATCTATACCAAAAGGTTTCTTCATTTGCAAGTTTTCTATTGTAATAAATGCTAGAAAAATGTCAACCATTTGTATCTTCAGATTATTTTTCCTTTGCAATTTGAAAAAAATTTGAAAAAATTGAAAAAACTTTTTTCAATTTTTTCAAATTTTTGATCTTTCTCGGACTTTCTTTTTTTGAACTCATACTACGACAACCTTTTTCTCCAAAACGAAACTTACTGATTTTTAAAAATTGTTTAAACCGAGTTTTAACATTTAATAACAAAAAATATAAACTTTCGAACTTCTTTATAAAAAAATTGTGCAACTTTTCGAAATGAATCCTAGGAGAAACAACGCACAAATGGTACTACAGATTTCAATAGAAAATCGTACGTTAATTATATTTTCAAGTACATTTAGTAATTTTTTGTCATTCAAATTTAAAATTGCGTTTTATTTTGTAAAGGTCAGGCGTTAAATCTTTTATTTTTAATTTATTATTAGAAAATTAAAACTTGTGACTAATAAAATGTTAGCCTCTGTTTGCTTGCTGCCCTTGTACGGCGCACAACCTCGCTCCTTCCCCTTCAAAAAAAAATAGCCGGCTCTGATTACTATTAAGTTTAGCAATATTATATAGATTGTTATAACCTAGTGTTGTGGCGGATTAAGACTTCTTGGGGCCGGGGCTTTTTTTGTTTTTGGAGGCTTTTTTATGGGCCAGAGTCTAAAAATGGCTACAAAAAAAAAAAAGAAAAAAATGGTTCTTTTATTGGGGATTCCGAATCTGCATAAAAAAAAAGTTAAAAAACTAATGTCTTGCTGGGTCAACGCTGTTTTAAACGGGAAAATGACTAAAACATAACTTATTAACAAGGAGAAACTTTAATTAGAAAAAAAATTTCTTAAATTTTTGATTAACTCAATAATTGTTATGTTGAACTTTAGGAAAATTGATTACTTGGTTCAAAAAGTCACAAAAATAAACACAGAAAAAGAGTTTTTGTGAAGACAATTTTTACAAAAATCAGGCGCTTTTTACAAAAATCAGGTACTTTTTTCATATTTTAGACAAAGAATGTTACAGTAAAGTGTGTTGTTTTTTTCCTGTTTTTTATCAAACTTTAAAAGTTAGTGGTGTTCATTTTTGTGACAAATTTTTTGGGGAAACTGAATTTGAAAAAAAAAATTAAATAAGTGGGGGTAACGCTTGTGGGGGTAACGCTTATTTTTCAACAAGAAAATGACTAAAATATGATTAATTAGAGAAAAATATTTAAATTAAAAATTTTTTTTTTTGAATTATTTGATAAACCCAATATAAATATGTTGAACTTTATGAAAATCTCATATAAACACATAATGAGAGCTTTTGTGAAGGTTTTTTTAAAAAAAAATCATTCGATTTTGTCATATTTTAGACAGTGAATGTTATTGTAGGGTGGCCTGTCTTTACTAAAACTAATAATAAGTCAAACAATTTTGTTAAAACAAACACTACATTATATACTAATATATTTTAGTATATATATTATACAATATTGATATCTTTATTAAAGTTTACATATAATTAACAATTAATAGTTTACAAACTTTATTTAAAATTTGGTCAAAACTAAGTCCAACTAAGTTATATTTAGCATTGTTTGTGCTCATAAAACCCTTACTGTTTTCTTGTACTCTTATATATCCTTCTCGTTTCTCATACGAATATGTTTTTGCACAATCCTCTGTAACCTATATTAAACATTAAAAACAATTTATTAATTAAAAACATTTAAATGAGTTATAATATTCTTGTAATTGTATAAACAAGAAACCTGCATAACACAACGTTAAATGAGTTATAATATTCTTGTAATTGTATAAACAAGAAACCTGCATAACACAACGTTCGTTGAATTGGGAATGGCATGGCCAATCTGCTTTAACCATAGGCTTATTAAAATATTTTCTGACTTCATGGGTTGTAAGGCTTGTGGTAAGTAGTGGTTCGTACATTGAATTTTTCCACTCATTTAGATTGGTCAATTTATCAGCATAAGTATGTATGCATAGAGTTTTGCAAATTTTTACTGAATTATCTCCAAACTGAGTATTAAAATTTCCTTCCCTTCTAATCTCTAGCAACTTTTGCACTCCTAACTTTCGTTCTTCTTCATCTTTGGAACACAAAAAAGTCTGAATGCATTCACTAAATGCAAACCATGCAGACCTTTTCACAGTTTTCATTACTATTGCAACAACCTCTTTTTTTTGAAATTTTAGTTGTTTCAATTGGAATAAAATATAACAAGGTCCCTCTAATGCAAACATGCAAACAAAATCTTTGACTTCAAGACAACTTTACTTCAAATCTTGCTTAAGCAGTTAAAACATCTGTGGTGTTACTTGCATCTTGTGTTGTTTGTAGAATAGAATCTGCTACAGCCCTTATGCGTGACATTTGTTATAATCAGGTGCACAGAGTATGTGGGCATGCAGTAGGAAAAGAAGGATATGGATCGAGAATTTAGGCCAAAAAGAAGAAAGCGTTACTGATTAAATGAAAAATGTTGCAGTACACCTGATAATATCAGCTGAAAAAATGAATAAATTTTCTTTACATAAATTTAAAGAAGTGTTTGTGGGTTCCACAGTTTTTTTTTTTAACATCTTGTGTGATATGATTAAAACTCAAGGGTAAAAGGGATTCAATCTAATCACACAATATGTCATTTTAATTTCATTTCCCTGCGACATATACAGTCTTAATTATATCCTTTTATACAGGGTATAAAAGGATATAATTAGGAAGTGCATGCCTCCTTTCATACCAATGCCAATCATTTGGCAAGGCCTGGTATTTAACCTCCGAACACTTGATTCTGTGCCAGAACTCTAACCTCTGCGCCACGGCTTGTTTAAGCGTCTGCCCTAATAGCAAAGCTCTTTCATAAATAAAAAAGGTGACTGTCTTACTGCTAAGGATATAGTAAAAATTTATTTTCCAGATGAAGAACTTTTACAATTTATTAGGAGTTTTAAATTTTCAAGAAGAGCATTTAAAGCTGGTAATAATATTACTATGATATTTACAAACTTTACAAAATCCATTAATTTGGTTTCATTATTGCATATATAGGAGAGAGTTGCCTTAATTGGAATACTTAAGGAATAAATATCTATTAACCAATGATGAATTAACTATAAAAAAATGATTTGATTAATACAAACAGACATCCCTACTATACTTTTAAACACAATTTGACTTAATTGATTACACTGTTATGTCAAAAAAGGTCTTCTTTATATATTATTTATCTAATATTATATAAATTTATTTTTAGTAATATTATATTAATTTATTTTAATTTACTGGAATTTATTTTAAATTTGAATGGATGTCACGTTTGTTTTAAATAGATGCAAAACCATATTTTTTTTTACATATTTTTTATACACATACTGTATTGGCGAAACAACCATGATGTTCAATTAAAAGATGCATGATGATAATTAAAACAACCATGATTTCCTATTAAAATATTTAGCGCATGAAGATATTAGATTTTCATTAAAACATGCAGCGAATTTCTGTTTGCCAAAATAAGCGAAAATTTGTTTTGAGATTGGTCGTTGATCAAAGAAAAATTCAATTTGAAACTTCATTGCCACAAAAAACTCAATCTGAATCTTCATCTCGCAAAATTCCGTTTCCCAAAACATGCGAGATCTTGTTGTAAATCTAGTCGTTGATCAAGGAAAAACTCAATCTGAAGCTTTATTGTTAACAGGAGTTAATCGAAACACAATACAATCAATTTTAAGAAGGTACGATCGAACGAATTTAACACCTTCTGGTTATAGAGGTGGCGCTTGTCAAGTTATTTATAATGAAGAGATTAGAAGAAGAATTGAAGAGCTTATAAACGATAACACAACGACAACTATAATTGAAATTAAATATGCTTTAAATGAAATGTATCAATTAAAACTGTCTGGAGATGGGTCTGGAGGTCTGGAGATTATATGTGTATCCAATCTTGGATACACATATAATCTCCAGTATGATAAGTTTATATATATATATAAATATATATATATATATATATATATATATATATATATATATATATATATATATATATATATATATATATATATATATATATATATATATATATACTGTGGGGCGCAAAAAAACGCTAACGTTTTTTCTAAATTTTAAGTATACGATGTGTAACAACACAAAACTAAAAAAATTTGAATGTAGTAGTTAAAAATCTAGTATAGAAAAGGTATGTTTATATATGCACTAATATCTTTTTTTTTTTTTTTTTTTTTGTATGTATTTAGGTGCTCCCAGAAGTCCTTGCGGTCTTATCATAGAGCACCGCGGGTGAGCATTTAACAGGAAGTTAACGCCTCCTTCCGTACCAATGTCGCTTGTTGGGCTGGAGCTGGCATCGAACCTCGGACCTCTGGGTTCTGAGCCAGAACTCTAACCACTGCGCCACGGCTGCTCAATATCTCTATAAATAAAATCTGTAAAAAAATGGATTAAAATGTACACACATATGTGTGTGTGTGTTTGCTTGTGTATGTGTTTGTGTTTGTGTGTGTTTGTGTACGTGTTTATAAAATTATTACTATTTTATTTATTATTATTTTTATATATATATATTTAGGGAATGATATGATGTTAAAGAATACAAAATAAAAAAAAATTTAATTTATGGTAAATGGAAACAGGTATAAATTCGTGTAATCCAGTATACAGCCATATTAATCGAAGAAACCCTAATGTTTTTGCAAAAAAAGCAAAATTTATTGATAACTTTTTTGCTGTTGTATCTATTATTACATTCTTGATTGATATTATTACAGATGCTTTAGTTGCTAAGCAATACTTTGAAACTAAGAAATGGATATGGTTTGGTTTAAGCTTAACTTTTATTTTTGTTCCATCTGTACTAATACAATTATTTTCTACTCAATGGCATCACGATGATAGTGAAAAACAAGGATGGCTTTCAATTATATTACATTTATTGCAATTAGCACCAGTTGAAAGGTAGTTTTTTTTTGTGTGATGAAAAAAATGTTTTTTAAACAATGTTTTATTTATTTATACATTAATGTTTAGTGTTCCTTTTGATAAAGGTGTTTTTGATTTTACTCATACTTTTTTGAAGTACTGTTAAAACATCTAAACTTTTTTATTGATTGACAACTCTGTTGGTGAAAATATTGTTTTTCTAAACACAGTTTTTGATTACTTCATGATGTAAGCTTTTACAATGTTCTCATTGTGAAACAATAACTTCTAACTGAGCATACCAGTTTGCATGATTTGAATTATTTACAAATTTATACTGTTTTATGTTGTCTGCATGCGCTCTTTTATAGTGGTAAGTTTAAGAATTTGTAATCTTTTTTCATAACCAAGTTGCTTAAGTAGGTGCAAGGTTTTTGTAGTTTAATACTTTTCAATGCATTCAATCTATATTTTTGAATAAACATTACATGCTGGCACAGCAAATTCTTGATGTGATAAAACGCAATTTGTATATAGATAATCATGGAATACCTGGAAAAATCAGGGAACTTTTTTTGCAAGTCTTTAAAATCAGGGAAAACTCAAAGAACATTTTTTAATTTTGTATTTAGCTTGAAATTATTTTGTAATATAAAATTTTTGAGTCTTTAATAATATTGAAAGTTCTCACTACAGTGGTTTTAAAACTATTATAGTATATAGTAACTATATGCTTAAATAAGTATTTAATTAAATATAATAATATAAGACATGGATTTAGAAAAGCCCTATTTTCATGAAGATTGGTTACAGCACGTATTTATAAAGTTTGTTTAGTTCCTGACGCCCATGCAAAAACTAAACTCATCGCAAAAGATGTAAAAAAGATCATTTGAATTGTCAAATCTGGGTATTCAGGCTGTTAAAAGTCATGAAGCGGGTGTTTACACTAACTTTTGTGAGATTCAAAGTTAAAAGAAATTATTTTTGATTAATTAATAATTTTGTATTATAATTTTGGTTTGTAACAGATTTTAATCTAAACTGACTATAACTTTAAAATGTCAGACATTTTTGAAACTTAAATGTTTAATCTTTTAATTATCTTTTCTTAGGTAAGAAGCATTAATCTGTTAGCTGTTTTTTTGTTAATGGAAAAAAGTTGCAAACTTACCCACTTGGAAGTGAAGTTAAAAATTGGTATTTTCCACCAAAAAATAAAAGTCAATTAAATCATCGTTATAAATTAACGCTGAGATTATATAGACACTGAAATCTACAATCAAATCTACAATGAAATGCTACTCTAATAACTTATGTGGAAATTTAGATAATTAATATTGGAAATTTAAACAACACTTGTTTCCTCGCAGCAATTTATCAGAAGATTTTACCATGAGCACCTCAAAAGTATCATACATTATTAACCATGAACAGGGCCATACCTTAAGAAATCACAGTCTGATTGTTACATTGCATGACTTGATGTGAGGTTGAACGACATAGCCTAAACATGTCAGATGGATCAATCGTTTGGTATTGGGATTTCAATTACAAAGTTAAAATGAGGTATTGGACATCAGTTATTCTTAGTCATTCTGCAGCTTTTGACTTTTTTACTCCTTTTAACGAAAACTTAACATAATTTAACTCAAGTAAAATGTTTCAAGCTTCCATGGATCCTTTACAAATTGGAAACTTTTAGATGATCTATACAAGCACAGAAAGGATAATAAGCTTATAAATATTGGAAGTTGCTTGTTGCATATAATCCGTAGTACCTTTAAAACAGCTATCAAACTAACCACATGGAATATAAACGAAACTCTAAAAGAGTGTTAGAAAGTCTTCATGATAGCCTGACATGACGTCAAAATTATAAAACAGTCATGGATGCAACAAAATATCCTTTTTTTTTTGCTCAACAAGATGGACGGAAGGTAAATCTGTTGCAGATCGTGGTATTGAAATATATGTAAGTTGATTGAGTTTTGGGAGGATTTAATAACATCCAAGCAACCTACATTGAAAAGCATTTTAAATGTCAAAGAAGCTGTTAAAGAAAAACTTATTCTTTTAAAATTTAAAGATTTTAGCTTTGTTGCAAGCATGTTAGAACTTTATTTGTTTGTATACCAAATTATTCCTTAATATCTATTCATATATAGTGACTCAAAAAGTCTGTTACAGATCATACTGAGTTTATTTGTGAAACAAGAAGTTATTGATAATTATTCTATACCACTCTAACTAAAAACGTTGACTTTTATAAAAAAGATAATCTACTTTAGGGAAATCAAATCAAACTAGGATTTGCAGCTGGTTTACACAAGACTGGTTTCTTTACGAAAGAAAGATATAATATTCAATTTTGATATTTAAATTTTCCACAAAGATTACCACTTGGATCTATCATTGTCCTCTATTCTCAGATTCTTAACCCTAATGCAAACGTAGAAACCCAGCTAGCACACAGACGTTGATAAAACGTTAGAACAATGTTGCGCGTTGCGTTGGCCCAACATCGACCACCAAAGTTGTTTTTATATCATTTTGGTTACGAATTTGACGTCCCCAACAACTAAAAAACAACGTTGGCCAAACGTTGTATTTTAAGTTGCCATTGCGTAATATTTTACGTTGATTCAACGTTGTATTTTACGTTGGCAAAACGTTGTATATAATCCAACGTTATTCCAATGTATATAAATCAACGTTGATCCAATGTATATAATTCAACGCTAAACTATAGACATTGGATTAACGTTGGGTTATAAACATTGGATCAACGTTAATCCATATACATTGGATCAATATATATGGGATTATACACATTTGGTCAACGTTGATCAATATTCATTAAATCAACGTTGATCCCTATGCATTAGACCGACGTGTATTTTTATACATTGGTCCAACATAAATGTGCTAGCTGGGAATGACTTTAGAAGATGCTGAGAAGAAGTACAAATCTTTACTGAACCAGCTTGAAGTAAATTTCATTATTTTTTTCCAATGCAGCTTTAAAGCTATATTATCTTCAAGATTTCTTTAGAAAGTCAAAAAAATTATCAAGACATTTTAGATGAACTGAGAAAGAGATAGCTTAGACAACTTCTATTATAATATGCAACTTAAATAAATATAAAAAGTTAACATAAGCTGTTTATATTTATTTAAGTAAACATTTTTGGTATTTGTGAGATAAGACAGCTTTAGTTAAGAAAGGTTTTAGTAGTACTGTACTAGAATGAAATTTAAATGAAAAATCAATAACTGCGAGACGTTTATTCAAAGATCATATGCTATCAAGTAATCTTTAGCCACATAATTTCAAAAATAGTTTTTATATATAGTTTATATTTTGTCAACAAAACACTTTATTTGTTCTAAACAGATAAAAAGTGTTATTTTTTAAATATATTTCTTATATTTATTGGATTATTACTTGCTTTGTTACTAATTTAAACTTCTTTTTGTAACTAAAAACTCTACTTTAATGGATTGATATCAATTAATTGAAGAGAGGTATCTAATTTCTTAAAAAATTCTGATAAAAAATATTTAGGGAACATGCATACAGATACGAAAGTATTATTTTTCAACAAACTCAGGAAAAAAGTACTTGAAAACAGGGAAAAATTAGGGACTAGTCAGAGTTTCATGAACCCTGATAAATATTTTTGTTGTTGGGTAGAGTGTATTGTAACTATATTTAGAGTTACCATTGCCAAAATCCATTACTTTACATTTATGAAAATTCTGTCCAGTTGACGATTTCATTTATTTCTTACGGTTTAAGACTGCTGGAAGATTATTAATGTAGATGATAAACAACAGGGGGTCAAGTACGCTACCCTGTTTGTAATTTTTTTTGTAAGCCTGTTTTGTTACCTGTTAGCAAAAGTGTTGTCGTGACTATTGTTTCTAGTAAATTGGTAACGCAACTTTTATCGCGAACAAGTTTCTGTTGTACTTTGGCTATGAGTTTGTTTAATTAAAGATGATTCTTTATGCTGGCTTTGACTTTCACTTTAAAACCCATATTTAACTAAAAGACGAATTTAAATCATGTGTACTCCAAATTCAAATGAAAAACGAATTTGGAGTTTTAAACCATTTTTGGATTTGAAAAAAATATTAAATTGAAATATATTTATAATTTTTTATAAGAAAATTTTTTGTTTTAGGTGTCTCAAGAACACCTAACAGTCTTGTCACAGAATACCGCGGAAAAGCATTTAATTAGGAAGTTTTCCCCACCTTCATTATTAATGTCGCGAAATTCGCCCAGAGCTCACTATATAATTATTTTATATAAACTAAAATTATTATTGACATACCATATCCAAACTGTTTATCTTCCGCCAAAATGCTCACACGCATTACAACCATTAGATGTGGCTGTTTTCGGACCATTAAAAAATGAGTGGAGAAAAATTTTAAGGCGGTTTTCAAGAGAAACACAGCACAAAAATATTGATAAGACAGCTTTTACATGATTATTGAAACAACTGTGCCAGAGGCTTTCTCCAGCAAATGCTATAGCAGGATTTCGCGGTACAGGTATCTCTCCATTAAGTAAAGAAAAGATGAAAAGAAGAATAACAGGTATTGACTTCCTCAATCAATTACATGAACGTTATAGCCCTAAATCTCCAAGATTACAAACACCAAGATCGGCTATGCGATAAGCTTTAAGGTTAATCATATGTCCCAATGTATCTGCAGAAATAATAGAACAACAAAAACAAAAAAGGAAGAGAGTACAAACAAAATGTGGAGAACTCCTTACAAATGAGAAAGTCAAACGACGGTTACTTGAGGAACGAAAAGTTAGAGAGGAAAAAAATCAAGCTTAATGTACAAAAAAAACTATTACCTCTACTGAAGTAGTAAAGAAATACCCCAAAAAGATCTAAAAATAGTGCCCAAAATATTCGAATTCGTGCCCAAAATAACAAAATTTTCGATTCGTGCCTAAAATAGCACGAATGTTACCAGAAAAGTGCAGTGATCAAAAAAATAGTTATTTTTTATAAAAAACATTATTAAAACATTATTATTTCTGTTTTTAATCCCCATTTTTTTTTTTATTTCTCTGAGTTTTTAATTTTTATTGTTGTGCTGTTTATGTATGCACTTTTATTTTAAATAAAAATTTTCTTAAGACTACTTTTTAAATTAAAACCTTGTATTATATTTTAAAATATAAGTTATTGTAAAATTATTTAAGGAAAATAAATAGATATTGTAAAATGATTTACGGAAAATAAATAGCTTGTTGTTGTTGTTGTTGTTGTATATATATACTATAATAAAAGTGCGCGCATATAGAACGTATGTCAGATTTTTTAAAAGCAGCAGTATTTTTAACCGGAACTGCCAACATTTTATTTATACCCAAATTACCCCACTTAATGGGGTAATGTGGGTCTATATAGACATCTTCAAATAAAGGCTCCTCAGACCTATTGATTGTATTTTAAGTAATAGTTAAATTTTGTTAAATTTGTTAAGCAAGATGTCCAATTATGATTTTAAGACATCTTTTGTCAGAAAACCGATACCTAAACATTGCTTTTTTTTAACTCAAAGTCAGAAATAGGTAAAAAATAGGCTCAGATTATCCCACCTTACCCTAATCCGAATTTTAAAGTATATTCGTTGGTACTTATTCCGCAATGCTTTATAATGTTACATGGTTAATAATCGTTGATAATAGAAACTATTTTTGAACAAGTTTACTGTAACCTCGAGTTCTTAATACAAGGAGGGGGGAGGGGGAATAAAACAATAAGGGGGGATTTTAGTCTTGATCTAATAAACAAGGGGTTTTACTAAAAAAAGGGTGGAAATTTTTTTATGTTACAATATAAGTATTTTTTATAAAAAATTTCAGTTAGTAAATCCAAACTAATATTTTTTACAAAACACGTATAAAACCATTTAAATCTAGCGCGGCTTAAGGTCAAATGCGCATTTTTTAACAGCTGTTTTATGATAATTTCAATAGTATTAAATATATTTTGGTATAAGTTTTTTCTCATTTTACACTGTATTTCATCAATAAAGACTCATCAGAAATGGATTTCAGATGAGTCTTTATTGATAAATCACAGTGTAAAATGAGAAAAAATTTTTGTTGAGTGATTTTCTACTAATTTATATATATATATATATATATATATATATATATATATATATATATATATATATATATATATATATATATATATATATATATATATATATATATATATATATATACATATATATATATATGAGACGTAACACTGTAACGTAAGGCTGCGTGCATAATGTTACGTAACAATACGTAAATTTTTGACCTAATAACGTGCAACATTGTAACCTATAGTATCTATAAAATAAAATAATATTTTAACTACGTAGTTAACTACATTGTAACCTATACTATATATAAATTATATTAATATTTTAGCTACGTAGTTAAAAATATAACGACGTAGTTAAAATATTAACTACGTCTCATATCTAGATTTTGACATATTTAAATAAATATTTTATATTATTAAAAAATATTTTATATCATTAAAAAAAAATCTATACTTAAGACGTATATGTCTCAAGTATATATTTTTTATAGCTAGCATAGTTAAATACCGTAACTCATAAGTTATGGTATTTAACAAAATTAATTTATTAACAATATTATTTAAGTATTTGATTATTTATGTATTTGATTTTTAAAAACGCAATAACACTTATACCAAAACTATTGTAATTAAAAAAATATTTTAAAAAATTAACCCACGCTTGCGGGTTACTTTTTAAAAATACTTTAAAAAGGTAAATACAATTTTTAAGACTTTAAAAGTAACGTAACGAAAAACAAAAAACAAGTACCTTTAAAAGTTAAAGTAACTTAGGGGTTGTCTATTAATTACGTCAACAAAATAGGGAGATGGGGGTCTGAACCTTTGACAATTGTTGACAAGTGGGAGGGGGAGGTCAAATAAAGTTGATGTCAACAATTTTTTTTGGCTTAAATAACGGAAAGTTTGTTGCGTAGCTTCTTTGTATAGCGTAGCTTCTTCTTAAGATTTGTAAGAAATGTAAGGTCTAAATAAGATATGTAAAATAATTTACATAATCTTATAAGATCTTACAAATCTTACTAAGAATTCGTATTACAACTTGAAAATCTTACTATGAAATTATGATATAATTTTTTCATAATTTCTTAGTAAGATTTTCAAGTTGTAATACGAATTCTTAGTGAGATTTGTAAGATCTTATATTCTCTTTCGCGAAATATGAGTGGAATTTGTAAGATCTTATATTCTCTTTCGCGAAATATGAGTGAGATTTGTAAGATCTTATATTCTCTTTCGTGAAATATGAGTGAGATTTGTAAGATCTTATATT